AAAAAATAATATACATGCTACATACAAGGAAGTCTGATAGAGCATTACTATAGAACTGAATGTGCAAAATTAGGAGAAGTAAACAATCCTCACTATTCATTTTCTCATCAGCTTTTCTATGGAACTAATCACTGTAGTTTAAATTAATATTCATCAACTCCCCCTAAATCTCTATATTACCACTATAAAACAAAAATATCATACTAACCCCATTTAAGAGGTGGGGAATTTAGGAATATAAATCTGAAAACAAATCATTTCCAGAAACTGCAAGTACCTCATTTGACCATCCTACTCTTTTCTCACAGAGCAATTTAGCTGTTTTGTTGAATAAGGGATTAACTGCACTCAATTAACAATACAGATTAAAGACATATGCACCTGGATTTCCCTGTGGGCTGCTTTGGAAACAGGTGCACAATGATATGCCTAGAAAGAAAAGAAGAAAAAAAAAGTCCCTGAGGCTATGAAATCATGACTTCTTAACTTTAATGGAATGTAGTCAGTTAGATAAACAGAATTTAATCTTTGTTATTAACTTGAGTATTGGATCAGTCTAGGAGAAATATCTATTCTCTACTGAAGTATAATCTTCAAGAGACTTTGCATGCCTTTTTCTCTCCTCAGTAGCTCCACTTTTTTCTTACCTTCTGATTCATGACATAAATCTCTTAGGCTTAATGATTCATTGTATTCAGTTAAATTGATGTAAGCACTTTGCTATAATTACGTCCATATTCAACCTCCAGTCCTCAAAGGCAAGTAGCCAGACTAACAAAACACAGTCAACAAAATCTTATATCAAATACTAAAATACAATTCCCTTGAATGATAGTTAAGACAATACTTACATCTGTGGAATCACAGTACATAACACCAGACCAATCAGTTCTCGTACCTGGTTCTGAAGTACTGGAAATATGGGGAAAATTTGCTTGTTTGCTTATATATACCTTAAAGATGGCTCCACCTACGTTATCATTTATGGGCAGCTTCGTTAAGTTGTTATGTAATGTCACATTAATATGGGAGATTTGTATATACAGCTCTGGGCCTCTGATATTACCCTATTTCTTTCATGGTTTTTACTTTTAATATGATTGCTTTTCATGCATCCTTATTCTAGAGTGTGATGGAGTGCAACTACCTCCCCCCCCTCAGTATCAAGCCCGAAGTGTGGCGGAGTGCAATCCCTCCCCTCCCCTCCCCTCCCCCTTATCTCAATCTCCAACTGACTGCAAATAACTGACAGCACCTAGGGCTGACTAGGAGGAGTTAGGAGATACTTGTTGCAACTTGTGAGGCCAGAAACAGGCATGAGATCAGCAAAAAAGGTATCCTTTCCCCAACATGGCATGAGATCAGCAAAAAAAACACATCTCTACACCAAATACTGTATGACCATGAGTCAAACTTGTGCCCATAAGTAGTGCTGCAGCCCAGAGCCCTCTCCTGCATGGCAGCTGGCTGCACAGTTGTGAATCTCTGCTTGAGTTGGGACGCCTCTCGAGGTTACTCCTCAAGGTCGAGAGATTCCTTACCCGTGACAGATCCTCGGTAAGAGACTAATAGCATGCTGAAACTTTGCAAACCTTGCTAAGTTGTATCTCAGATTGATTGTGCATAGAATCCTTTAGACATAAACCATTGACCAAGTCTGGGACCAAGATTAGATCCAGCTGCCCCCAGACTCCTCTGAGGAGGAGTTTGGAAAGCAAGGGGGTCCACTCTGAACCTCACGACTCAACAGGAGGGTCTTGTTGATGATTTCATCTGACCCTGTCCTCTATGCAGTAAATAACTGAGTGTACCTTGCCATCGAATCTTGTTAAACTCCTGTCTTATTTACCATTGAACTTAGTTAAATCGCTGTCTTATATCAATAAAACATGTTGCTGCTTCTCTTTTACAAGTGAAGTGCATCACACATCCAGGACATAGAGTCATTGATAGTTCACTCTGTGTAATAATGGTGCTTAAAAGCATACATGCATATATGTATTTATATGCATTTATATGTTTTGACTATGTTATTAACATCGATCTATTGTGGCAATATTATTGGTATGAATTTGAATTTAGTTCTTTTTAGGTTATAATATTTTGATCTATGTTCCCCTGTGATACAAGTGTCACTTTTTAACTCTGTAATCTCCTTGCCTTTATTTGGATAAAAAATCTTTAAATCTTGTAGTCACAGCCTGGAGAAACATCAGTTCAACTCATTTCTTATAGTCTACTGCACTTGCAGTTATACCTATAATTGAAGAGGACACCTAGACAACCTAAAGCCTAAATACTTCTGCAAATTTCCTACTTGATAAAACTCAGAAAATGTTTGTTAGTTACGAAGAGATTTTTCGGATCTGCTTTCACATACTTCTCCCTTGCAGCCCTGTATTCTTGCATCAGAAATTTTCCATGAGATGCAATTCCAATTTGCAGTCACTGAGACTGAGAGGAAGAAATTGCTTGTGCTGGTTGCAGTGTTCTTGGTTCAAAAAAAGAAGAGAAAAGAACACCTTAAGTTCAAATTAATGGAACTGCTTCCATGGCTGGCTGGGCAGGAGAACAGAAGCTTAGCTGGACTCAGGCTAAGTTATAAGGGAACCTACGGCTAGCAGAGTATGTGCCATCCTTGAAACTGATAGACTGAAAACTAATACCACTTGAATTTAAAAAAAGGTGTGTGTGCATACATATACAGACATATATACATTTTTGGTTAGGGAGGACAGTGGCAAGAGAAATCTCCCAGGTCCTTTATATGATGCAACTTAAGAACAGGCACCTGTATACAGAAATGAAACTTGATTGTAGTCATATCTCTTGCTTCTGCTTGGAGGAACTGTAACCACATAGATGCTGTTTTTCAAAATGGCAATCCTTTTTTAGGAGAGAGCAAAGCATTTTTAGCAGGAACTGGATGAGGTGGCATCATACAGTCTAGGAAAGACTGGTATCAAAGTAAGTTACTGAAAACAGGCAAGACCATCATGAGCTGAGCTCTCTCTCTCTCTGGATGAACTTGCAGAAGAGGATTTATCTAACTTTTATTCAACTGCAGTGTTTCTCCTCAAGCAGCTGGGACATCCCATAGGCATTGCGTGGCTTCTTATCCTTGCCTTTGCAAGTCACAAGGCTAACTCCTATTCTGGAAAACTCTCTGTGACCAAGTACAAAGCAATATGAGATAGCATACAGATGGCTAGGGCGCAACAGGCTGGGGGTAGAGCGCTAGTCTGAAAGAGTATGAAAACTGATGATGAAAGGAGCGTGTGATGGGCACTTTTTCTTTGTTCACGCTGTGCTTGTCATGCCTGGGTGTGTTCTGTAAATTCTTACTATGCTGAAGTCAAGGAAAAGTGATTCTTCCTTTTCCAGCTACTGTGATACACAACACTAAAACTAGAAGCAATCAGCACTGGCCCTGGGCATTGACGCCAGAGAAGGAAGGAAACTTGCATTATAATGAAGCAATTGTGGGTGTTGGTAACACTAACTTGTTATGCATCAGATTGCAGTGGTGAAGTGGTTCTAACCAGAAGACTACTGTACATTGCAGTTAGTGATTCAGTTGACCTATGCTGTGCTACATGTATCACTTGGCCACAGGAAAAACTCAGCTGGTTAATTTTAAGGCAGGAGCCTGTAGGCAGCTCCCACTTGGCACCTGGCAATGACACCATCAGGGTGTCCTTGTCTTTATCTTCAAGTGAAGCAGCATGTTTTCATATAAACATTCTTTTACTCAACAGAAGAAATAACGAATGAGGTTGTTTACTTCTAAGAAAATACTATAAAAAACTCTAAAGACAACAGTGCCAGTTAACCTCAGCATGGATGGGCTCTACACTGCATGCCATGGCCTGACTAGAGGTCCATCCAATGCTTTACAACTTGGGGTTTCCAGTATCTGAAGGGATTTAAGATTGTCTGTGCTACCCCCTTTTTCCTTCTCGTGTTATCTGCGGTAAATGGTATTTTAATTAATACCTTATGGACTCGGCACCCTTTTTACTGGGATCTGTAACAAATACACTGATACATTACAAGTGGTTTGATAGCAAATAGTAAGATACAGTTTTCTAATGAGTAACTTTCCTTGTCAGATATATGGAAATCTCTCTCTGCTATGACATTATTTATTTGCACAAACACAAAAAAGTAAGGAAACATGTCCATTGCATCCAGAATTATTCTGTTTCCAAAAAAAAGTCCAAAAAAATTCAGGAGCTATTCCATTCAATGTGGCAACTGTCCTCCATCCTGACAATCTCTCAGGACTCTCAGAATAAGCAAAAAGAGGTCCAACATCATATCTCAGTCTTCGCACGTCAAGGGACCTTTTGCAGAAACGGAGGCCTGTTCAGTAACCACAGCTAGACTGTCTTTGTCCTCACAACAGCCTCAAGAGCAATTTTGCTCGGTGTGCAGAACCTCCTCTGACCTGCAGCAGGTCTGGTATCTCATACCTTATTAAAAGTAGCGGACAGGAAGCAAGAGATTTGGGACAGGTTGCTGTTGATGAAGAACCATATCCAGGAAAAAGTCCACTTTCTACACCAACTATAATTTCCAAGTGACTTGTGTACTGGCTCTATTCACAGCCAAATTCTAGCACGGTTTTCACAGAACAAACATAGTCCTTTGTAATTAATATTTCTGGATGTTCTGCGGCTAAAGTTAATGGTATCAGCCATTACAAAAGTCCCATAGACTTCTATGGGAGAAGCATAGTTCTTCCTTATTTAATAAGCATTAGTGCAGAAATTTAAAAAAAAAAAAAGAAAGGCCTTCACATCAGCTTGAGAGGGAAAGAAAAAAACAAACAAACAAACCACACTTAAAACGCTCCAGTTTGATTTTATCACAAGGTCTTTGAGATAATTGACACAGGAATGAAAAAGTACTGGATCAGTTGAAGACATTAACTTCCCTTCTGCCCAGATATCCCAATGGCTGATCTCAAGTTCCTCATTACCTCTGCTGGGAAAGGGAAGTGGATGCTTTTGACTCAGCCTGAAGAGTGACCCACTTGTCAACATGGGTCAAAGTAAGCAGGTGGCTTTCCAGGTAAAGTATACCTAGCATGTGAGTTGGGAGCCCTGGAAGACTAGCAGCAGCTGAGCCTGGAGAGTTTCTCTCTCTCGAGAAAGGCTACGCAATGAAGGGACATAATCAAACACCCAACATCTAGGGCAAACCTTGGAATACAATAAGAGATTTTTTGTTAAATGAAGTCTGTGGAAGATATTATTGAATACCGGCTACGTGACAAGGGGCATGACAACAAGATTACAAGACCTGCTTAAATGTAGCTAGACACGGAATGCAGGACCTTGGTTTAGAAACTAGAAAATAATGTAGATACCAGTGTCTTGAGAAAAGTGCATGACTTGCTACTGTATCCACTAGTGTCTTGAGAAAAGTGCATAGCCTTCTACTGTATCCATCTAATAGATAACAATGCCTTCTACTGTAGCCACCTATAAGGAGCTTGGCTTTTGCAATATGTATGAGCTAATTAACTCTGTTATATAAGTAATAAGATAATTCTGAATAAACTGAGACTTGTTGATCATCATCGGATGTGCTTGTCTCCCGTTGTTCTCCGACAGAAGTCCACAAAGTCCATTCCATCACTATTCAGTCTTCTAGAAATCAGGTGAACTCTTGCGGTATTACCATAAATGAAAACATTTGTATGGATCAATAGAAAAGGATCTAATATTTCTGAGTTTCAGACAGACCAAAATCCCTCCTTAGAAGGCCTAGCACTTAAGTGCCTGGGAGAAGAAGAAATACCATAGAATTCACTGAGACATAAAGAAGAACAATTTAATAAACAGTACGAGTCTCTGTTATTCAGGGTGCCAGTGACTTTTGAGGGGCAGTGGGGAGAAGCCAAAAAACATGGTCTCCATGTGCTGAAAGAGAACAGATTTGCTGAATTCCTGGATATCTGTTGACTTTAGGCATCAGGTAAATCATCCAGATTTGGACCCACAACACAAATGGATTCAGAACACCTTTTCTACTGAAAAGCATCAAGTCAAAAACAAACAATAAAGCCTTTCAGTTAAGGGGGTGCACATTTTAAGAAAAAGTGTTAAGAAAATCAAAATATACTGTTACAGTGATCTGAAACTATTTAATTTCTTTCTAAACAAAATAAAATTGGCATTTTTCATTCCAAGAACTTCCTCCCTCTACCCCACCAATTCAAATACTTCCTTATATTTAAAATTTCTTATTGATTTTTCCTAGAAATTGACATTTTCACTTGGCCCAGCTTCAACAAACAGCATGCAGAATGATCTGCTAGTAATTTAGTCCATCACACTGCGGACACAGGATGGGATTATGTTACTCCTGCTACTTGCAAGGAGGAACTATGGTTTTCACAAAATAGGTCCTGAAAAAAAAAGTAGGAAATGCTTACGTAAGTCTTACTAGCCTCTTTCATCTCTGCTTTTTGGAAACGGTACCTCAAGGCAGAACTTGATTTTGTCTGGATTAAAAAAAAAAAAAAAAACAGCTGGGTAGTTCTACAAAATCTGCTTAAAAGCATGCAACTTTACAACTTCTCAGTTCACCTTCCTATCATCCAAACACACACACAAAGGGACTGAAACATGAGATATCTGCTTGAATACAGGGCTCTTCAAGATCAACAGCAAATTAAGCTCCAAGGGGCTTGTAGCACCCAAAGAACTTCTGCACGCTTACCAATTTAATGCTGTTTCATCCTCCACGATTTCCTCACAGATCCCCATCATCCACTCTCAATTATTAAGGGACCAGATGTCTCCTACACCTCGGCAGCGCAGCTGATGGCATCCAGAGTTTTCCACTAACTTTTGTTCGAATTCTTTCAGTCCTATCTTTCATCTTGCTCTCCCTTTCACTTTCCATGTATTCACTTCAGCTGATTCGTGTCTACGTGGCCCTCCTATATTGTTCAGGGGATGGCTATGCTATATCTACTCTAGTATCAAAAATACTTGCTCCTTTGTAACAGCAGTAACATTTATTTTGCTGAACTTAGGGCAGAGTGATCATCTTTACTCCAGCACCTGTTTGAAATTAAAAATATAGCAGGTTCCTAAAGCATCTAAAAAGATAGAATTGCCATTTTACAGCATACAATCCATCAGGACTTTCAGTTGTCAACTATGGAGCCTTCTACTACAAGTCCTTTTCTCAGTAGTGTCACACCACAGTATTTTAGGGTTTTACAACACCACTTAGGAAAACCACTTAATATTAAAGTCCCCTCACTGCTTAGATCTGAAGGCTGGCACCCAGCAAGCTACCCACATATAGGCAAATGCACAAACTCCCAAATTCAGCCAAGCCCTATGCTCTGTGGCAGTCATTCCCATTCCCAAAAGCTTTGATTCTGTGGCATGTTGAATATGGGTTAAAAATAAATCTAATCTTCCATATTCCTCAGGCTGACAGCTCCAAAACCAGGTGCCAGGCTAACCTGGCACTTCAGTTATTTTCAAGTCAGCAGCAGCTGCATAAGGAGACCCCTTGAAAAGCATTGAAGCTCTCCTAGTAACCTGGTTTGGGAAATGTATTAGCACACACAGGAACACACAAAATAGAACATACAAGAAACAGTACTGGTTTTGCAATCCATGAGTTTAATTTCTTTAACTTGTGGGTTTTGTTTTTTGTTTTTTAAAATCTCTTCCTATTTAGCCTTCCCCTTTCTATTGCAATCTTTGTTAGTAAGCTTGCGTAAATATACACTTTTCCTAGTCCAATACGTAAACCAGGCACAGCAGCAAAAGTTTCTATTTGCAGTTTTCTTAAGTCTTGTTTCCTAACTTCTTAAGAGAGAAAGTGAGTTTAAAAAACTATTAGGTAATTAGATCAAATATCTGATGGTGAGATGCAGTGCAATAAGATGACTCCATCAGCAGAGAACATGACGGGAATCCATACGCTTCAATCTAACCTGTTCAGGAAACGGAAGTTGCAGAAGATCAGCCTGTCACAGAACTTTGCTGTGTGCAATTTGTTCAAAACAGCACAGGAAAAGGTCTATTTTTCACTCTTTTACTCTTGGAAAAATTGAGGTCTTTGGGAAAAAGACGCCCTCTCCCCACCCCCAAATCCACAGAACCCAAGACAGATGCACAATTTATTCATCTCCCTCTCTCCCCTTAGCTCAGGAAAAACCTAGACCATTCAGCCCTTTCTTTCAAGAAGAAAAAGCAAGCAAAACAAAGACTATAAATAGCTAGGATAGGATATACTTAACAAAAGGCAATGGAAAACATACAAACATGAAGGGCCACACAGATGAAGAACAGCTACAGTACAGAAGTATGAGAATAAAACAGCACTGTGAAGGTGTTGTGTGTATACAAACACTCAGCAGCAACATCCTCCTCCACAACTCAAAGATATGACAATGAAATGAAGTGCAAATCTGATTCAGCCAGTCCAGCATAGATAACACGCATTATCCAAAATGCTTCAGTGTAACAAAATAGCTTGGATTCTTGAACATAAAAGGAATTAAAATCTCTTGTTTCAGAAATTTTATAGAATTTAGCCTGTAAATAGCCTGAATTCCTAAAACTAAAAAAATGTTCAAGTAATTTCACGGGTAGGAATATCACATGGTATTACACAGCTGGTTTTCTACCTGTCTCCAGACTCCTCCTAGCCCCAACAGTTTTGCATCACTAGGACAAATTTCAGGCTTGTGTGTGCTAGTGATAGACAGCTACACATTTGGTATTTGTTAAGGAACACTTCCTGTTCCACTGAAAAGCAGGGGCTAAGGGCTGATGTCTGTATTACAGCTGCTAATAAAAAATCAGGAGAACAGCATAGGAGGAAATTTTGGGGAAAGACTTTCTTTCTAAGCAAACACTATTTTTTGCAATTTACTTTCAAGGGATTTAATCTCACAGTTCATAAATTTATCATTATGATCCCACCAGCAGAAAACGCAGGAAAGTCCCATGCTCATACAGGGTTAGGTAAACAAGTAGCAATTGCACGCAGAAGAGACATCTCAATGTGTTGTCCTATGTCAATGCAAATCGCTCCATTACTCCTTTTTCTTTGCTCTTGTTTCAATGCCAGCTGCTGGACTTTGCTAAGCATCTCCTGAATTGGTTCATTTCAAAGTTACCAAGAACAAGTGACCTGTGTGCTAAGTGCAAGTTATCCTAGAAGAACTGCCATGCAATGTGCATGAGAAATCAGCTGTATGCAAGGTGGAAAGCACTTCCTACCATAACACCTAAAATTCGTGGCAATGGACATGTGTCAGCATGTTAAAAAGTAATATTCCACAGTTAAAATGTCATTTTCCATAGGAAAAACGTTGCCAGTACCTAGGAGCAAGTCTAGGAGTAGGAAAGTGATCTAAGCGGATGCAAACATTTGTAGCCACAAACTACTAAAAAAAAGAAATCTCAAACTTAAAAAAACCCTAAAAACAACAGAAGTCACACAATTTGAAACAGTAGACAAGCCACCTCTTGAAACAGGCTCTCAGAAAGAGTAAAACCCATGTTTAAAATATTACATACCATGTTACTATCCAGCTAATAAAAAAAACAGCCAAACTTTACAAACAGGATACAAACAGATTTCCTCTTGCAGTAAGAATATCAGATAAAAACAGTTACAGAATACATTGCAATATGTTTACAATGAGCTTGTTCTTTCCTCCTCCCAATGCCTTCAGTCCTATTAGTTCTTGTTTTGACCTCGTTTTCAGCTTTTCCAGGCTTGCTCTCTGCTTGCAGAAAGAGTACCTTCTTTTTTCTATACCAAATATGAAACCCAGGAGGCAGGAGAGGAGAGAGAAGATGAAACTTCTCACTGATACATTTATCTTTGTTACCTATTTTACATCACTAAGCCAGTTATAGATATTATGCGAGTTCAAGAAGGTTCTATCTCAGAGGCCTCTTCTATAAAGTTAGCAACAGGACTGAGCAGCAAGAGGGGAAACAGTTTATACTCTCCATTCCCATCCTCTGAGAGGAGAGGTGGATCGCCCGTTCCCAGAGCATCAAGAGGCTCAGCCTGGTTTGCTGGAGCTGCTAGTGGCAAGACGGTTTCACTACCTGCTCTCCATCCTCCTTCAGGTTTCTCCTCTAGGGGGGCCAGTAGAAGGTCTTTAGGATCCTCTGTCTTCCCTGCAGCTTCGCCTGAGGGTAGTTCTTCAAATAATGAAAGCAGAGGATTGGCCTTGTACTGTATCAGCTGCATATCTGAGGGAAAACAAACATCTTAAACTCCAGACTCCTATGACACATACATGAAGGCGCTTGTTCAAGGCAAGGAAAACTGTAGAGGCTGCTTCAAAAATTCATTCACTGAAGAAAACTGTACAACTGTGCTCTGACAGACTACATTCACAGCGGTAAGAGTCTAAAGACTGCAGCTAAGGCTCAATTTCTGAAGCACGCTTCAAGCCACCAATACACATGGCATGCAATGACAGCATTCAAGTAGCAAAATGAGGAGCACTGCATTTGTGGGGTTTTGTAGCCCACATAGGAGACACTTCTGCAATGAGATCTGCTGTTGTTCCCTATTGTGGCACTCTGCCACATGTAAGAACAGGGGAACAATTAATGCATCTATGGAGTATGGAATGGAACGGGTAAGACTGAGGCACAGCTCCATGAAAATCAATGGTATCTCCCAGTCTTCACATAAACAGAAGGAAGTAAGCCGTATTACGGGCCAGAAAAACTCATTTAAGAACATAACAATTTTGGAAGAGTTTGGAACTGCTACAGCTCTCAGATTCCTTCCTGCCCACCTTTGTTTCCTGCTGTTTCTCTCTCACGTGCTCCCAGATCTTCAGTGCTGTCTGCCAAGTTTGCAATCTGAAGCAAAATGTAAACAGAAGAAGGCAGAGGAGAGAAAATGAAGAAAACGGTTGGCCAACGCAAACTTCTGACTCCACAAGCCCATTATCATCCACAAGGACCAGCAAATAGGAATTCTTAGAAGAAGGCATGCTGAAACACAAACAAACTTACTAAAGCCAAACAAGCTTCTGACTAGCAAGTCTTTTTTTTTTTTTTTTTTTTTAAACACCTTTCAAACTAGAACCCTTATTATAGTCTGTCCTGTTGGAACAGCACAGTTAAACATGATTTCATCAATATAATTAAATTTTGCAAGCACTGCTTGAACACAGCAGCATTCTACCTCAGTTGCGATCTAAGCTCTTCTGACAGGGAGGTTCAGTCCTAGTATTATTTCAGGACTATAAAACAAACCAATAACACTTGCAAGGGTTTTCTGTAACATGAGACAATTTTAGGTACTAGAACAAGAAAGGGAACTTGCAGAGAACTTTTGTGTGCCCCCTGAGGAAACGCCATATAGCTATGCTCAGAATAAATACAACGTACTGCATTATACTTTTTCCTTTAATACTTTCCCTTCAGTCTTCAAATAGACTGAATACATACAATCTCCTTTAAAATATAGTCTCAAACCTAGTTATCACTTTGCAGAAAGACATCCTGGGACTCTCTGATGCTTGGAGAAACAAGCTAAGAAACTGTACTCACACACTTGGAACAAAAAAATGACAAGATTTTCCTAGCCTCCTCATTCTCAGTAGAGGGTACAGAAGTAACAGTTAAGAATAAAAAGGCTCCTCAATACAGACAGCTAAATGAACAGACACCAGTTTGTTTCCCTTTTCCTTATGTGTTCAGACATAGTATTTAGAAAGCAAAGAACATGCTATTTAAACTGTCACTTTGCTTTGAATGAATGTTCAGCATACTGAGTATATTACTGTGCCTAGGGACATAAGACTTAAAAGTTTTGAGAATTCTCTTAAAATATATATGCCAGCAGTGACAACTGAAAACATTAGGACAGCTAGATTAGAGAAAAGAGCAGTTTCATCCTGTGCTATCAATCAGTCCCTGAAATTTAGCTCTTGATATCATATTAATCCTCCCCATTACAGAAAAGAATCTCATTCTTACATTTTCCATACCAGAGGAAGTTTCCATCAAATTCATATCCAGGGCTGGCAGCTCAGGATTATATGTCTGAAAGTAAAAAGCAGATCATATATAGCAGCATGTGTCTTATTATAAAGCTCTTAAAACAGAGCCTCAGAGAGATCCTGACAGGACAGCAGGATCTGGCAGATCACTCCAACCATCCACTAAAGCACAGAGAAAGTAGCTCTCCTCCACAGGCCTACAGCAAGGTACTTTAAACCTGAGACGGAAAAATCGATGCTCACAGAAGAGAAGGGCACCACATTTGTCAGTAATTCCAGGGATATGGCTGCAATAGGGATATGACAGTATGCGAAAAGGCTTAAGAGAAAACAGTTCAAAAAGTGTTTTGAGTCATACACAACAGAAATACTATAAGAACTGGAAAAGGTTCTCATACTAACTTGTACTTTGTCAGACTCCTAGGACGACTATGTACCATTCTATCCAAAATTATCTACTTTTCAAGATTTTCCTCCCTCTTGCCCATTACAGCATGGAATAAATCAGTAAAGAAAATTTATAATACAATCTAATTAGTATCTTTCAGAAATCAGAATACATTAAAAGACACTCACATCACTGAAAGCTTCAGAACCAAGGTTATACTGCTTCCCAGATAGCATTGCCTGGAGCTCTTCAAGGCTGGCGTCAATGCAATTTAGAAAATCCTGAATTTCTTCTCTAAAAAGACAACATGATACTATATGATGAGAAACAGTCAGCAGTCAGGGCCTTTTTTTTGCACCACAATGTAGACAAACTCCTGGAAATGATCTGCTAACTTCTTGATTATTACAGCTGTTGGGGTAAAAGGAGAGCCAAACTGATACAGCAAGGAGTGCTCACAACGCAGAACAGGTTATTGCTAAGTACAAGAAACTGCATTCCCATACTACTTTTCATGGTCTGACTATTTGCAGAACAGGTACAATGAAGGAAGGCCATCTGAACAACAAGCATACTAGTAACTATCATATGTATGGAAGGAACAACTGCTTTTTTGATATTTCCTCCCTCATTTTAATATCTTCTGAACGGTCTCAGATCCCAGCCTGTATATTACTCTCTGTTTAAGCTATGGTCCAATGGCTTTCACCTTGGGACAACACATGATAAGCAAAGGGCTGGAAGCAATCTGTATCTAAAGGAACGCTATCTTCTTCGGTAACGTGAGTAACCGGATCATTGCGTGTTTTAACTGTTTCTCAGGACAGCAGGCAGGACATAAGAGATAAGTGGAGAGAAGCTACATATGTAGCCCCGATATCAAGTTTCTCACTGTGCTGCAAGCTATCTCCTATACTTCAATACTTACCTACAAACAATATACAATTCCAAGCTATTCCCCCATATTTTGCAATGTCAGTGAGGCAGAATAGCATCAGGCCTTCAGATTGCACTGAGTACAGTGATAACGTTATCTCAGCTATTCCTACTTGAAGTTTAAAAAAGCTAATTTACTATGTTCTCCTAAACACATCCTCTAAAATTTTGACACAGAAGCATTTATAACAGAGATACCACAGGATGATGACTTTATAAAACAGTTTCCAGAAAAAGAGTATAATGATCTACAAACCTGTCCAGTAAAGGATCATTTTGGTTTCCAGAGTTGTTTTCATTCAAGATGGAGTCAATCATTGACACAGGGTCTTCTGGAGCATTAGCTTGTGCAGTATGGAGCTCCACAGCATCATTTCCTGTTTCACTGGATTTGTTAGCATCGTTTATCGGAACTGCAGGGATAGGTTCCGCACAATTTAACTCAACCGGCTGTGATACTTGACAGATAGGTAAGCCAGGATCCGGAGCTGTCTGTGTCTCTCTATAAAATATGACAGACGTTTCATATAGTAAGACACCCCTGGAAACAAGATGCAGGAGAATTCACCAACTGTACTGCTCCTCATTCCAAGTTTAGTATCTCAACTCTTAATACCTAATAAGGTCAAGTCCATCAAGGGTTCAAATAATCAACTGGTCTTTTGAAAGAGAAGGAAAAGACCCTCCTAATAGCAGATGAAGAATCACTTATTACAGCTTACATGGAGAGACATATCAGGGCAGAACATCGCATTTTGCCAGACTAAAGAGTGCATCAGAGGTGCATGGGCATGTGGTGGGAGGGAAATTCATCACACCATATCCCTCAAAATAAAAGATTCCAAGTTGGTCCGTATTCGACTCTGCGTATTGATAACCAAATAAGTTTTTACAAGGATCTGAGGCCACACAAAGAATGTTTCCCCTTCAGTTGCACTTAGCATAATGACATCAAGAGTAGTACTTGAACTGGAGACTATTAGTCTGGATTTGCTTATTAGTAAACTACACATGCATTCAGGTCCCTGTTCAGTCAAAAAGTTAACCATGCTTATTTGTTAAGCAGGAAGAAAAGCCTGACCAAATTAAACTCCAAGTGTCAATCAGCTTGCTAAGACTACAGACACTCTCAGAGAGACATGAACTCTTAAAAAGCTTTGCTGACCATGGCCAATGCTGCATGCATGCTGCAAAAAGGCAGCCTACAAAGAGGCCCGTCGTGCAGACACAGTAAAAAAATGCAGAGCAGCTGTTTCCCATTATTCATACTGGTCACTTACACTAAACATGACTACTTAGTTAATGACTTAAGCACAAATACTTCATCATCCTTATGCATACCTGGCTCTGCCACTCGTGTGGGCCAGAGCAAGGAGTCCATCAGTGGCATTATCCAGAGTGTCAGTGATATCTCGAATGATGAGACCTGTACTGTTTCCATCTTCACCATCCAAATTATGTTCAGAAAAAGTCATCTGCAGGATACAGCAAACCAAATGAATACACCAAAATTCTGACTGCTTTGGCGTAGAATCTGCACTCCTCTGGCAGCTTTTCTTCCCCATTAAAATTTCATCTATGCCAAGTTGTATGGATTGCATGATTATGCAGATAGGGTAATGCTTGAAACGTGTCCAATTCAAAATGGAGCGCATTCGATTACAAGACCAGGATAATAACAGTTGTAAGGAAGACTAGGGGGCGGGAGGGAAGAACACCAATGCATAGCAACCTGTCCACCCCAGTGTTTCATCTCCTGGGAAGACTTACTGCTTGGCCACTCTCCACAGGTATGCGAACATACTGACGACTGTATTTGGAAGGTGAAGCACCTGCAGCATCTGTTAGAGACCTGAGATGAAAAATGGCTTTAGTCCATACTTCAGTAATAAAAAGCTGTAACAATGCCAAGTAAGTGCAGTAACAGCAAGAACTACTATATTTCCACTTCTAAGAAACCTTGCTTTTTGAAATTGTTCTCATTATAGGTAGTGCAGATGTATTACATTCTAAACATGCTTTTTGTTTTATAAAAAAAATCAGTTACGCTTGCACTTTTTAAAAGAATTACTCTTTCCGGCCCTTCAAAATTTAAAGTTTAGTATATCTTCTCTTCCGATGCTATTTTTTAGTTATAAACAAGAGGAAATCTTCATTTCATGCTTTTTTCCACTTCCCTCAGCGTTCTCAAATTTAAATGAAAGAACATAAATGATAAAAATATTCTTTCTGTACTTTAAGTATGCTGCTTCTAGAAGTTGATTTGTCCGCATAATGCACATCCAACACTAACTCCAACACTTTGTGAGCTAGCCAGTAATTACCTTTTTCTTTTGACCCCAACAATATAGTTTCCATGCATCAAACTTAGTATAAATTGAAGAATCTAAAAAGAAAAACAACAAAAAAGCGATCAACACAGCAATCCTAATATTAAATTATTAATTCAGACTGAATTCAGGCTTTCGTGCAAAGTTATGTAGTTATGTGATTGAAATTAATAAGTAAATTAAATCTCCATTTGTGTTCACGTCTTAAAAACAAAAGGATAGTTACAAATGGCATTGAAAAGTTATCCCACTTGGACAGATTTTTTTTTTTTAATCTAACACCACAAGTCACTACAGAAGATGCCAGACCAGAAACAGCTGAGAGAGAAACCAGAGAAAATTTGATCCAGTGCAACACCACCTATAGTTTCTGGGTTCCAAGTTGACTTCTTGAGCGGTCAAAGTCTGTCATGGTCAGAGATCTTTCACAGACTCCATTCCATGTGCCTGCCATCTCTCTTTTCACGTTCCTACTACCACTCACTGCCTCCAGTCCCACGCTTACCCCAGGCCCAGTGCTGCAGTCTTTCAAAAACTTGGTTTACTGATTTCTCTCCAAATAATCTAGCCTCACTGAGCTTTCAGTCACACTGAAATCCTTCTCCCTAAGACTTTTCCTTAGCATTTGGCTTGTGATTCTTTGTTTCTCTACTTCTTGGACACTTAGGAACTGTCAACATTTTTTCCTATGCCGCATTAATATAGCCTGTTCAGCTCTGTGTCATTAGTCATTCTACATAAGCAAAGAATGCCATCAAGTATCACAGAGGCAGGAATAAGGATGGTAGCACTGAAGATGCTGCAATGGTACCTTAGACAGCAGCTTCTGTTGTTGACTGTGCTTCTGCCTTAGAACTGCCACTTCTTTCCACAGGGCCTTATTTTCTCTGCAATGCAGAATAAATCAGAAGACAGAGGATGAACAGAATTTACTTTATATGCTCTAGTTCCACAGCTTTCAAACTTTCACAGTACCTTGCAGGACCAACAGCAACATTCCTTCTGTGGGTGACTAACAATCAGTTAATCAAATTCACCAGCTCTGGGTTAAAATAACTCCATGTTCCACCAGGTAGGACCAAACACTCACTAATAAGGACTTTCTCATCCTCTGCTGCTCCACCAACAATCCTGACATGAGGTATTCATTCAAAACTCCAAAGCCTTAGAATAAGGACTTGGTGTTTAGAAGCAGGCTAAGCATAACACAGATCACTGCAGAAGTTTCAAAAGTATTAAGGAAAAAAAAAAAAGAGGGAGTGAAGGTATCTCCTGAGCTTTGGTTGATAGCTGCTCGCATGCCAACGATCACAGTCAATTCCCAGCGCTCATACAAAAAGGATCTGAAGGAACACAGATGAGGACATACAAAGTCCACTTCCAATTAAAAAGAAAACCAATCACTAACTCCCCCTCACTGCATCTAACCCTGTTTTGTGCTTAGAACAGAAAATGCTTTGGTCCCCCTAAAGAACAACTACAGATGTTGGAAACCAAAATGAAATCTCAAGATAGTCAACAAGCGCTCAGTCTTAATTGCTGGTCTGTTACTGAATTATGAAAACAAGATTCAGAATGCTGTGTGGAGTGGAACAGGTATTCCTGGAAAAAATACAACTTTATCTGTTTTCATTTCAAATGAAACCCACATTTAGAGCCAGGCTCCATTAGATAGCAACCGCTTTCAATACATAAGTGCTTCTGAAACAGACAGTCTACCTCTTCATATTAGCCAGTCTGACATCCATGTTGTTCTGCTGCTCTCTCATTTCCTGGACCTCAGAGAGAACTTTGTGTAAATCCTCTGTACAGACCTTGAGATCTTCAGTTCTTACTGCAGATACCTAAAACAGGATCAGGTTACATATGCTTTACTAAGGACTGTGCCTTGTATACTCCCTTCTAAAGGAGCTGTAGTTAGCTTGCAGACAAACAGGACCAGACTTCATTAAAAGATTAGGTAAGATTATATGATTTTTACGTATCACAAAACATCACAATTGTTACAGATGCAGTCCTCAGTAGAGTCTCAGCTGTATGAAGAAAAACAGCATGTCAGTGAGCATATGACAATAGCACTTGGAGCGTACAGACAGTATATGCACCATTGTATTTCATGCTAAAAATGCATTACTAATCCAAAATGGCCTTCCCTAAGTGGTTCTGTCTGATAGGTCTGGTGAAAGCTTGCCCCCTTGTGTCAAAGGGTAAGTCACCAGTCATAAAATGCAGAAGCTGCTTGTGCAGTAATAACATGATAGTCACATCCCTCTTAAGCATGGGTAAAATTCTCAGCACAGGGCTCACAAGTTTCCATTAAATTAACAGAAAACAAACATATGGGTCTAATTAGATGCATCCTACTTGACTGAAAATTTGTCCCACGCCACCTGAACTGCAGATTCCTATATTGTCATTTCCGTTATTATCACTCCACCGAGTGACATTCCAAAATTATGAAGGCTTGTCTCCAGACAGTCAGAGCCCAAATTGCTTTTCTGCCCACAGCAGAATCTATCATTGCTGGTCCTGCAAACGTTGGTGAAAGATTCATTAGAAAGCAAAAAGCTCACTTTCTCCTCCCTGCAACACTTCTACATTCAGAACTTTCTATTTCCTTCAATAACTTTTTCTGAGATGCTGGCACCGATAGCTAATACACAATTCAAGATTTTTAAAAAGATAAGTCTGGTGCATCACCTATCTGAGCTATATGTTCATGTTCTGTGGACATAACTTCAAAAATCTTGTAGCCAGACACTAACCATAATTGAACCAGCTGGGGCTGGACTAGGCAACTGCCAGAGGTCCCTTTCAACCTATGTTATTCTCCAATTCTACTTATTTTTTATTAGGTCCCAAGAGGGAAGCAGAAGCATCTGGGATTAGCCCTCTGAAGTGTCAGATAGCTTGCAGGCAGGCTGACTCACAGATCCCCTTTTCAAGAAAAATAGGCTGGACAGAAATCAACCTACCTTGTTATAAAATAACATCCCATCACTTCACAATGAAGCAGAACAGAATTATTAGTTATTTCTGTGGAGCAATTACATAACAGCTTTCCTAATATATTTCAATGTTACAAAGGATGGCTTGAATGCCCTGATTGTTCTTCTCTGTGTCCATGCTCTTTGATGTCTTGCTATTTGTTGCAGATGGTCAGGTACATACTCTGTACCCCAAATGAATTCATGACTGTCTTTCCTCTTCAAGGTACCACCTCTACAAGGAAGCCACCAAAAAGATGCAGACAGCACACAGAAGTTTCAAATGCAGTCAGCCTGCATCTAAAAAAACAGCCAATCCAGTAAAACATTCCACCAGAGTATCAGGAACTGCTCTCTTTAGAGTCTATAGCTAAGGAGGGTGTCAAGACCGATGCACAGCAGCAGGGATCCTAGAGCTAACAGTAAAAGGGAGTTTAACTTAAGGAAATCCTGCCTGCAAATTTTAATTCCTGTTGGGGGTTTGAAAGCCAGTTTACAGCAAGTGCTGAAATTTGACTCCATTGTAGACTTTAAAAGAGCAGAGAAAACCGATGGAGGTTTTAGGCATTGCAAAAATCACCAACAATTCCTGTGCAACAAAAAATATGTTTACCAGCCTACTCAACAGTTCCACGAGAAAGTCCTTGGCACTAAAACAAAGGTTTTATCTTCCATTTAGACTACTCCACCCAATTTAACACTCCTGGGATACATGCTGCCATACATAATGTCATCAGCTGACTGTCCCAACATAGCAAGGTGTGCAAGCCAAGACAAGTTAGCAATTACAGCATCTGGGAAGAGAACAGGCCCGAGTCAGAGCAGCAACTGTATAACTATATTTGATCAACTGTGATTCTGAGCACAGAGGGCTCAGTGAAGGATCAATCAAAACACAATTGTGACTCTCCAGCTAATCCTCAAGCCTACACTGTGCTTTTATTAACTTGGGCAACGTAGCCACCACATTATGATATTCTGCAGAAAAGACCCTGCAGTTCAAATGTCAGCATGATATAACATGATCGTCTCCTCTGGCAGCTGGGATATCATGACTTGTAACAAGCAAATAAAGGATAAATACCTGTGCCAAAACAGGTCAGACAAGGCCTGAACTTACAAGAGAAAACTGGAAAGCCCTAATAAACGTGCAGCTTAGTGGCAACACAGTTGTGGGGGAACAACATAGTTTACACAAACTTGCCCAAATGAACTGATTTCTGCCACCTTTGCTCTTTTGTCAATGAGCATCAAATGGGAGTGTATTTCTTTTCCTTCTTTCACTCTATGATCCTTTCCAATTCTGCTTTGCCAGCAAAATTGAAGACTACATTAAGCTGTAATTGTGTGCGAGAACTCTGCATGCAAGAGCATCTACTTTGATAGCTGTAAAGACTGTGGTCTTCCTCCTATGCATTGCTAAACAATGGCAGGGTGTGTTCTGTCTAAGAGCTGATGTGAGGAGGCCAAGCCAAGCCTTAAGCCTGGCATTCAGAAAAGAGCTACAAGGCTGTGTGTCAGCAAGCTTTTGATGGTACTTTGGTTCACGTGAATTATTGGCTTCAAAGTGTTTGA